GTGCCCTACTCCTTGGAGCCACAGGCACCGCCCAAGCCTATGTATTTTTTTGCTTAGTAACACATTACAGATGGGGAAAATACTGTGGGTTTTTGTTTGTTTTTGAGGGGTTCTTTAAGTATTTCCCTGTTCTATTCCTGAATTGTAGCAGAATTTGGAAGTCACTTAAGTCTAGGTAAATGTCACTTTAATGACACATCAATAGCCTATTTAGGCAGGGCCTTGTCTGATCTCCATCAGGCAATCGTATTTGCTATCTTAAGTGAATGCAAGTAGAAACTCCTGTGTGTTTAAAACGTGCTGAAGGTTTACTCACTGCCTGTAGTGGGGGTGATGCATAATAAGCCAGGGCAGTAGATGTCACCCTCTAGGACAGTCTCCTCCCCACAGAGCAACCTGCCACATGCCAGTAGGGCTGCCTTACACCTGTGTCCTTCCCTCCCCTCTCTTCCTGCAGAAAAGAAGGACACAGTGTTGCGGCAGGTACGCCTGGACCCCTGTGACTTGCAGCCTATCTTCGATGACATGCTCCACATTCTGAATCCTGAGGAGCTTCGGGTGATTGAAGAGATTCCCCAGGCCGAGGACAAACTGGACCGGCTATTCGAGATTATTGGAGTCAAGAGCCAGGAAGCCAGCCAGACCCTCCTGGACTCTGTCTATAGCCATCTTCCTGACCTGTTGTAGAACATAGGGATACTGCATTCCGGAAATTACTCAATTTAGTGGCAGGATGGTTTTTTTGTTTTGTCTGTTTTGTTTCTGATTTTTGTTTTGGGGGTGCGTGTGTGTTTGTGTGTGTTCAACAGAGTATATGGCCAGCGTTTGAGTTCTGTCCCTTTTTCTTTTTTTCTTAGCTCTTCTGGAAAGTTAGTTTATACACATTTTCAAGGTATAACTATTGCAAAATACCCACCACTAAAGTTTTTTATGTTCCATTCTTTTCTCCATTTTGCCTTTTACATACTTTCAGAATTGTTCTGTGCACTTTAAATTCCCTTAACTTACTGTAAATGCAGCGTGACTTTTCCTACACACCAGATTGCGAGGCTCTTAAACGTATAATGACATCTTGTGAATCTTATCAACCGTTTTCATGTCTCTTAACATTCACATCCACTTTTTCTAAAAATATTATTACTATTTTTTATTATTGTTTTTCCTTTACAAATTTTCTTAAGGAGTAAGGAAATTTAAGACCCATTGAGTTATTGTAATGCAATTAGACTTTGAGTTTTCTCTTAATATGTGTCGTGTAATTCATTTCATTGTCATGGCTGAAACTTGACCACACTGTTGCTGATTGTATTTCACCTGGTCACCACGCAGAATGCTTGATTCCTTGTGCTCCTCTTATGCTAATATGCTCTGGGCTGAAGAAACGAAGTCCTCCAGCCATCTGGACTTCCTACTTAAGTGGCTTGACACCTGGGCCACCAAAGAACTTGAACTTCATCTTTTAGGATTGAGCTGTTCTAGAACACATTGCCGCACTTTGGAAAGTCAAAATCAAGTGCCAGTGGCACCTTTTCCATGGAGAATTTGCCCAGCTTTGCTTTAAAGGATGTCTTGTTTTTTATACACACATAGTCAATAGGTCCAGTCTGCCCTCAAGCCTTGATCTTGGTGGGTTTCCTTCACCATTCAATTACTTTAAAAATGGCTGCAGCTGTAAGAACTCTTGTCTGATATATTTGCAACTATGCTCCCATTTATAAATGTACCCTCCAAGGCCGAGCAAAAGCAAAAAGACCGATTTTGCTTTTCAGCAAGTCGCCAGATTCAAATGCAAAGGTGGTATGAACTTCCTTTGTATGGGCAGGGTTTGTGAGTAGTGGTGAGGAACTGATATCAAAAAAATGCCTTCAAGTGTACTAATTTATTAATAAATATTAGGTGTTTGTTACTTGAGTAGTTTCAGTGTATTTACTACTTGAATTTCTGGCCTTGACCATGCACTTGAGTTATATAACTCTTTGATTCGTCTCTTGGAAAAGCAAGTGTATCTTAAAAACCTCAGCCCCTCTATTCTGTAAATCACGAAAATTAACAAAGGTTTGTGCCTAGAATGGCACCTGGACATTCACAGAGAAAGTCTCAGGTGAAAATTACAAAGCATCTCCTAGTCTTTTAGGTTAAACCTGGGGCTCCTATTTTTGACATTGTCCTTATTTTAAGAAATGAAGATTTGAAGGTAGAAAGGTACAGATCACAGCACACCTTGGAGTCTCTTCTCAACTCATTTCTGTCTAGGAAATTTACCACTCATCTGAGGGTCTTTACAGGTTCACAGACTTCAGTATCAAACCTCATTGCCCTTGAGTAACTCGAGGACTTTCTTGGCAGAGAGTCAGGGTGAGGTTATATTAAGGGGATATGTTATGTTGTGTCATATGTCATTCACTGCATTGTCCCCTTTACTTTGGGAACCCTGGCTCTACAGAATTCCAATGACCAGAACCTCAGCAATTTTTAAGTTCCTCGTTCAGTGAGAAACTGGAAGTAGCTGGCCTGTCTGAACTTTGGACGCCCATGTCAGCGACATAAAGGGCTTTTCTGGTTTCATTCACTCCTGTGTGGTTGGTTTCTAGAGAACTATCCTGGTATTCGATTTTACTGATTCTCACACTAGGTTTCCCCTCCCCTCGTCAATAAAAAACAGGAACTCCATCACGAAATAAAAGAAACTAGAATGGGTTAGAGATGGCAGCAGTAGGGGAGACTGATTTTGCTTTTCAGAGGATTTTAAGAGTGTCACTAATTTTTTTATGTGGGGTCGAAAAACATAATGAATGAATTAGCATTATAGTTAAGTTTACAGATTATCTGTAATTTGGGGGTGCTTTTATTAATAACATACATTTACACAGCTTTATATTTCACAAAATTCTTTTTTTTTTTTGGAGACAAAGCCTCAAGCTGTTGTCCCCCTGGGTAGAGTACTGTGGCATCACAGCTCACAGCAACCTCCAACTCCTGGCTCAAGCGAGTCTCCTGCCTCAGCCTCCCAAGTAGCTGGGACCACAGGCGCCCGCCACAATGCCCAGCTATTTTTTGGTTGCAGCCGTCATTGTTTGGCAGGCCGGGGCTGGATTCGAACCCACCAACCCCTAGGTGTATGTGGCTGGTGCCTTAGCCACTTGAGCCACAGGCACCGAGCCACAAAACTCTTTTTATATTATTGAATACTCAATACTTCTCAAGTTAGATACTACTATTGTGCCGATTTTACAGATTAAAAAATAGGATTATGAAGGCTAAGTAACTTACCATCCTATAGCAAAGTTGTAGAGATCAGATTTGATTCCAGGTCTCCTGACTTATCTGAATCCAAGACTGACTCATCCTATGCAGGACCAGCCACCAGAAACCCTTTGTCAGGCTGAAATGGTGTTCAGAGACAAAATAGGGCTGACCTTGATTTGGATTCTAAGTAAAACCCCACAAGCAGGTTCAGATTGTGAAAGTATAGGAATGAGGTGGCATCTGTTGGTGACCCTGGGAAAGGAACTGTGGTTAAATAGAAGCTTGATGCAGAACTAACATCATACGTTGCTTTTCCAATAAATGCAAACTCCAACCGCATTATGAAAAGATACAAAGTTCTGACACTGTGTTGCTCACTTTGAGCTTTTTTCTGGTTTTGGCTGTCTTACTTTGAGGAGCATGGCTGAAGTAGGAGGCTTCCATTGTGGGGGTGAGGGGGTGTGAGGAAAACCGGAAGGGTAAGAACCAGAGTCAAGAGCCACTGCTGGGAGAGCTCATACCAGCAAGAGAAAGACCAGCTTTAGTTACCTGAAGGACTGGGGCAGAGACAATTCCTTTTCCCTTAGAGAGTAATAACTTTACGCTAGACCAGCGGTTCTCAACCTGTGGGTCGTGACCCCTTTGTAACAATGACAATACATCCTGCATATCAGATATTTACATTACAATTCATAACAGTAGCAAAATTACAGCTATGAAGTAGCAATGAAAATAATTTTATGGTTGGGGGGTCACCACAACATGAGGAACTGTATTAAAGGGTCATGGCATTAGGAAGGTTGAGAACCACTGCTCTAGACCAACTTAGGCTAAATGCACTAGATTGGGCTGCTTTTCAAAGGAGCAAAAAAGGAGAGAAAACTTTCTCTGGGAAAAAGTAGACATGCATCAATGGTTCTCAATCTTTCGTCTAAGTAAGAATCATCGGAGAATGAACAGTCTGTTAAAAAGACTGACTCCCAGAAAGTCTGATTCAGGAGATTTGTGGTAAGGTCTAAAATGAGCTTTCTACCAGACCATTTGGGCCACACTAGGAAAACTGCTTTAGATCCTTGCCACTGTGGACCAGCAGTATCCACAAAACCTGACAGCACCTTTACTGTGCAAATGAAACACCCAGAGAACTTGTGAAAGGGCAGATTCCCTTTCAGTTGTTCTGGGGGACCAGGCCCAGAGGCTGCATTTCTAACAAGCTCCTGAGTGCTGTGGGTGCTTCAGGTCAGGTCTTCAGATCACACTGGGTAGCCTGAGATTATCCCTGCGTTTCATGCAAAAGATGCCACTAATATGGGAGAAAATGACACCAAGTGCACGTGAGAGAAATTCTGATGATTCAGAGACTTTGAGAACCAGACAACCTTGGTCAAAATCTACAGCAGTTGTTCTCAGTTCTGGTTGCATATTTAAAGTAAGCAGGGGGTGGGGATGAGGTGGGATTTTTAAGAAAGTAATGTCCAGGCCATAGACCAGACCAATGTCGGGATCTCAGAGAATGGGACTCAGCCGCATTTTGAAAGGTCTCCAGGAGATCCCAGTGTGGAGTCACTTATTTCAGGGCTTATGAGAATGCCTCTCGAGCCTCACCCAAGATCTGGGCATCCAGGGGATTAACCTGAGCATCTGTAATTTATTTTATTTTATTTTTTTGAAACAGTCTAGCTCTGTCGCCTGAACTAGAGTGCCAAGGCCTCAGCCTAGTTCACAGCAACCTCAAACTCCTTGGTTCAAGTAATCCTCCCATCTCAGCCTCTGAGGAGCTGGGACTTTAGATGCCCACTCCAATGCCCTGCTAATTTTTCTATTTTTAGTAGAGATAGGGTCTTGCTTTTGCTCAAGCTGGTCTCTCACTCCAGAGCTCAAGCAATCCTCCTGCCTTGGCCTCCCAGAGTGCTAGGATCACAGGTGTGAGCCATTGCACCTGTCTTGGCATCCATAGTTTAAAAGTGATTTTGCTATAGCCAGTCCTACTCAACCCTGCAGACTTGCTTTAGGACCCATAACCCTACCATAAGATTTTATGTGACTATGCTAAGAATAGAAAAATAGAACACTGATAGGGTGATACCTCAGAGCTTAATTGCAGTGATGAACCCCCTGCAAATACAATAATCAATTCCTCATGGATTTGAGTGTAATACATAGGTACGTTTAGTTAAGAAAACTCAAATACTTTATGCTACTTATTACCGCGCCCCAGCCATTTGAGAGCACCAACCTCACTGTACAATACTGGGGATGTGGCAGGTACCTGTGCTGAACTTGAGAAGAAATGGGATTTTTTGTTTGTTTGTTTTTTGTTTTTGAGACAGAGCCTCAAGCTGTCCCCCTGGGTAGAGTGCTATGGCTTCACTGCTCACAGCAACCTCCAACTCCTGGGCTCAAGCGAGTCTTCTGCCTCCGCCTCCCAAGTAGCTGGGACCACAGGCGTCACACACAACGCCCGGCTATTTTTTGGTTACAGCCGTCATTGTTGTTTGGCGGGTCTGGGCTGGATTCAAACCCGCCACCTTAGGTGTATGTGGCTGGCACCTTAGCCACTTGAGCCACAGGCGCTGAGCCAAGAAATGGAATTTTTGTTTAGCAAACCATGGCCCTTACTTTGGAAAGAAATCTGGACATCATCTAGGGAGCCTGGCAGTTTTCTGGTGGAGAGCTAGGCCCACACCTGCCAGTTAGTGGCGGAGCTTGGTTGCCTTCATCCCTGTGGGCACTCTGTCATGATTCCAAGCTGTCTCTTTTTCATCTTTTTCTTAAAAGTAAGTAGAACATGAAATCTATTTATTTGAGCACGTATTGAACTTTAAAAATATTTTTATCGGCTCGGCACCTGTGGCTCAAGTGGCTAAGGCGCCAGCCACATACACCTAAGGTGGTGGGTTAGAATCCAGCCCCAGCCTGCCAAAAAAACAACAATGATGACTGCAACTAAAAAATAGCTGGGCATTGTGGCGGGTGCCTGTGATCTCAGCTACTTGGGAGGCTGAGGCAGGAGACTCACTGAGCCCAGGAGTCGGAGGTTGCTGTGAGCTGTGATGCCACAGCACTCTACCCAGGAAGATAGCTTGAGGCTCTGTCTCAAAAATAATAATAATAATAATAATACTTTTATCCTACGTGACTTTAAGTAATTGTGTATGTGAAACACACCTAAATGCTGGAAGCTTAGATTGCAACATAGATATTTGAGAATATCTTGTAGGGAGATATAAGAAACACATCAGTGGTGTCTCTAGGGAGGGGGAGGGGCTAGCCAATAGTTAGGGGAAGGAGAAACGGAGGGCTTGGCCTTGTCATGCATGATTTGCTCTTTTGAGCTTTGTGAGCTTTTACCGTTTGTATGTATTATTGAATTCAAAAAAATACAAAGAAAAGGTTTTTAGGATGTTTTTTGGCATACAGGAAATGTGCATTCAGGAAGCCCAAGGTAAGAGTTCTATGAACCAGACGTAAAATGCTAGCGATAGCTTTGTGAGGAGCATTTGAGTAAAATCTGCAAAGGGAATCAGCCTCTTGACCTCTCTCCAGGAGAAGTGTCCACCTTCCCCTGTCTCTCCCCAACCTCTTCATGAGAATTCCTGATCCTTTCCTTGGGCCTGGCTCCCCAAAACTCAAAAGCAATGAAAGTTCAAATGGAGATAA